AGCTCTGGGGGCGGCCGAGGTCAGTGTGCGATTCCCGCCGGCTGGCCAGGTCCCTTACTCGGCCCGCCCCGAAGACCCGCCCCACCCGAGTTCAGCCCCTCACCTTTGGCAACCCGTCCATGTCGCCCGAGCCTGTGGACGACAGACACACGAGGACACAGGTTCAGACGCGTCTGCACCGGGCTCGCCCCTCCACCCCCGAGCCCAGGGTCTACAGACCTCGAACTTCCCCAGCGGCTGGGCACCCGCTCCCTTGGCCCAACCCGCTGGGGATCCCGGGCAGAGGGCCCAGAGGGGGATCAGAGCTGGCTGCCAGGAGTCTTCATAGCTTAGTTACTGGACCCTCCCCCAGAGCAACCCATGTCACTGAACCACCCACGGAGGCTCCACGCGACCCAGACGCCCCCACGGGGAACACAGGTGAAGGGGCGGGGGAAGGCCGCCAGGGGGCGCACGAGGCTCATGAAGCGGCTTAGGAGAGGAGAGCGTCCAGGCCACCCACTCACCCAGGGATCCGTTCACGTGATGAGGTTCCAGTGCACTCATAGCGGCCATGGGGCCCTCGGAGCCGGGGCCGAGCGGGAACTGTGAGCAGAACCGTAGCGTGGGATTTGGGCCACCACCGCGCCAGCTGGGCCATCGCCTCCAGCGGCCACCACCCCGCAGCTCCCTACTTACATTAGCCCTGCCAGTGCCCGGCCCCATGGGGTTCATGATGGTGTACATGTTCTCGCTGGAGTTGGTGGAGTCTGGGGGGAGGATGCAGGAGGGTGTGAGGGAGGCCCCCAAGCATACCCCTCGCCAATGCCCCACTCAGGCCCTACTACCTCCAGGGCTGGGCATGATGGGTGTTCCAGGGGGCCCACCTCCTCCTGGGGGTCCCTGCACACAGAGGGAGAGAAGGTGAGAAAGGCCCCCCACCTACCATCCAACAACAACTGCTCACCCCACCCGCTGGCCCATTCTCAGCCCCATTCACCCCACTCACCGTGTAGCTGCCGGGGGACGAGGAGGAATAAGGGATCTGGGGAAAGGGGCAGTGTGAGCAATCTGCCCATTGTACCCCTCACATCCCTAACCTAACCCACCCCCCACTCCCCATTCCTCTACTCACTGAGTTGCCACTAGGGCTGGCCCAAGGGCCCCGTACTCCAGAAGCCCTGTAAAAGACCATGGGTGGAACCTGGAGGCTGGACCAAGGCAGCATTCCCACACACACCCTGCCCTACTGGGCAACCAGCCAGACCCCCACAGCAGATGTTGGCTAAGCAGCAATTACTTGGAAGTCCCAAGGCATCACTCACTGGCCTTTGGGCCTCAGTTTCCCCACCTAACAGTCGAATAAACAATATTCCAGGCTGTTGCGTAGATCCAACCTAAGAAGCTGGGTGGCCCCCATGGGCATATTCCCAGGGTCCCTTAGGGCCTTACATGTTCATAGTGGGCAGGCCTGGGCCAGTGAGGGAATTGGGTGGGGGCCGCATGCCAGCTCCATAGCTCTGTGAAGATGAAAGGGCTGTGAGTACAGGCCCAGAGGGGAGAACCCTTGAAGCCCCCCACCTGGGCCCACCCCTTACCTGGGGCCCAACATTGGCCATGCCCCGTGGAGGAGTCACCCTCTGCATTGGGCCCATGCTCGGATGCCCTGGGATGAGGGCAAAAGGAAGGTATCTTAGGCCGGGACAACTCCCCAGTGAGAACATGCACTTAGGTGGGGGGGTCTGCAACATGAGGCAGCAGGAACAGGACACTTAAAGCTGGGGTCCTAAAGGTGGTAGGGGGACACCAGCTAGAGCTTCCCTACTCACCCTGAGCACGTGGGGAGGGGTCCATGGCGCCAGGGAGGAGGGGCTGGGAGCCAGGGAGGCCCACAGGAGGCTGCGGAGGGGGTGTGGCAGCACTGAGTGTGGGTGCCTCCACCCCAGCCCAGCTCCTGCCCCCCTTCCCATTTTCCCTCTCTCACCTGACTCGGCATCCGCAGGGTGGGCCGGGGGCCCCCTGGGAACCGCGGTGACATGAAGGGCTGGAAAAGGTGGGCTGGGGGTCAGCACCTCCCCCGACCCACTCACCTCCCTCAAAGCTACCCAGTTCCTGCTGCTCCCAGGCCACTACCCTGGCTTGCCCTCTCCTCCAGGCCAAGCCAGCAAACCACAACTGGCTCCTGGTGCATGCAAGTGCAGAGGGCCAGGGAGTGTGTGGGCAAGGGGGCGGGGCATCACAGGTCCTTACCTGAACATGAGGCCCCATCATGGGGGCGTTGAGGTTGTGGGAGGGCGGCTGGGAGCCAGGGGGGCCCTAGGAGTACAGAACCAGGTGGTTTGGGAAGAGCAAGATCACCTGAAGCTGTTTCCTGGGGCCCTGCTGAGCCTAGCTGGGGATGGGACACCATGGAGGCAAGAGGGTGGGACACCCATCTGCAAGACGGGGAGTGCCCCCTATGGGAGGGGTCACAGGAGGGAGGCTGGCTCACAGAGCCATGCTCTGCAGACCTAGGCACCCTGGTAAGCACACCCACAGGTCAAGTGCCCAGAGACCCCGCCCTCCCCTGTACTGCAGCACAGGCACTATGGCCACACCCTCTATACCCTCACCAGCCCCACCAGGGCCCACATGCGTTTCCCCACTGCACCCACACCCTCCCACCCAACTTTAGCTTGCCCATCTCAAGGCCTCTCCCAACATGGGACTCCCATCCCAGTCACTGCCCACATCTGTCACCCTTCAACACATGTGCACCCAGGGTTGAGGGACAAGGGGCCCCAGCTCTGGCTGTACCTGGAAGAAGCCAGGTGCCATGGGACCTGCTGCCATTGCATCGTTGGGGCCCATGCTCCCCATCACAGGGCTGGGGGCAGCTGCAGCACTCTGGAGGGGTAGGGGAGACTTGAGGGCTTGGTCAGGCCACTTCCTGCCCCAGTGTTTCATCCTCTCCTCAAGTAGCCTGTCCCACAGAACAGGGAACGCAGGCCATCTGACCCTCTGTCCACATACAGGATGCCAAGAGGGTCCTCTGGGTGACAGAACAGCTGTCCCCCCTTCCAACCCCGTTTATCAACCCTGACAAGGCCACAAATTCAGATTCACTGGGTGGCCTCAGTAGGGGCTCTGCCTCCTTGCTGCACCTGAGACCCTGGAGGTAGTCAGGGCCCAGCTGGGCTAAGCCCATAGCCCAAGAAGGACAGAGATCCAGAGATCTCAGCCCCCAGAGTCCTGAGCCTGAGGATTGTGGGAGTCTGAAAATGCCAACCACCCAGGAGTGGCATGCACTCAGCCATCCAGCACAGGCTGGTTCTGTCTGAATCCAACTTCCTATGGTTGGGGGCACAGTCTCCCACCCTCGGCTCTTCCAACCCACCCTGTGTCCTCTGGCTGGTAAGGCAGCTTAGCTGGACCCCCAGCTCTACCCAACATGCCCCAAATAAACAGACAAAAGATCAATCGGCAGCTTCAAGATGAACCTTCCTCTGTGAGGTTCCTCCTTAGACCTTCAGCACAGACCAGTCCCCTGCCCCTCCAGGAGGAAGAGAAGAGCAGGACTCCCTAGGTTCTGTCTCCAGGCCCCAAACCGTTTTTCAGATGGAGGAGGGGAGAAGGTGCCAGAAGGGTGTCCCCTTGTGGGCCAAGGGCAGAGATGCTGGTGGCAGGCCCAAGCTGGCAGGGGGCAGGCTGACAGGTCACTTCCTCTAGTTGGTTCTAAGTCCCAGGCTTGTCAGCCTTTGGGGCTCACAGAGCAGGGGGAAAGGGTTAGTCTACAGCACAGAGGGAACACAGCAAAGGATAGGGAAGGACATTGAGGAGACAGGGGAGCACTTTTCCCAGGGCCTTTTGACTCCAGTCTGTCTGCATCACCTGCCCTCCCCCATCAGGCCTGAGAAGGAAGGGGATAGTCTGTCCTGATCACAGTTGTCCCAGGGGCTGGTGAAAGCCAGCACACAGGGCACTCAGGAATTTCTGGAACTGCAGCTATTTGGGCTCAGAGGGGTTAAGCACTTGCCCACAGCACAATCACACAGCACTTCCTGCCCTACAGGAGTGGGGTAAGGGGCCCCTGGAGACACACCCCTCCCTCAGCGGGACTACAGCCGGGCTCCCTTCCTGCTCTTCAAAGGTCAGCCTCTAAAAGATTCCTGCCAGGCCCCAAGCTAGGGGTACCAGTAGGAGCCTCCCCAGGCCTACTGTGGCTGAGAACACTCCCAGCACAAGTCATCTGACAGCCCACGGGACCCTGGGGCAGGGGACAAAGTTCTCAGCCCCCTTTCAACTGTGTGGGTCCCTCCTGCCTCTATCTCATTCTTCACACATAACCCCATGGCATGGAGCAGATGCCTGCCTGAGTAGCTGGAGGGGGACACCTCTGAGCCCTGAGTGTGTCTACCCTCCACTGCCTACCCCATAGGGAGGGCAGAGTGGAAGGAGCAGCCCCCCTTCTGAGCCATAGCAGGCGCCAGAGTGTTTCCTGATGGGGGAAGGCTTGAGGTGGGGGCAGCTGCATACCAAGATCTAGCCCACGAGTTGGGGTAAAGATAGGGTACCCCTCATCCCTGCGGCTCCCCAACTCTAGGCCCTGAAGGGTTAATGCACGACCAGCCCACCCTCCCTGGCGTGAGGCCGGAACTGGAACTGGACACCCCCATGTCAATCCACCCAGAGGCACTGGCCTGCGTTGCCATGATTACGGGCTGGGCTTGCTCCTGTTTCCTGGAGACGCCAAGGTAACCCAGAGCTGGGAGGGTGGGGGAGGCAGGCAAAGCACCCCCACCTAGACTGGCGGCTGCAGGAACCTGTTACCCAGTGCGTGCCCCTGGCCCACGGTGCCCGCTCCAGCTCCCCTACACACCCTCCCCTACACACCCTGCTGCCATGGTAAACTGGCACTCACTGGGAAGCACTGAGCTGCTAACATGGAGCTCCTGAGCCCCGCCCTGCAGGGAGGCCAGACTCCAGCTGGGGCACTCCAGCTGGGTGCTGCGAGAGATCGAAAGGGGAACTGCCCCAGGGACACCAGAGAGGCACAGGGAAGGGCCCACAAGGCATCAAGCATGCACAGCTCCAGACAGTTCTGGTGAGACCAGAACACAAGGACAGCAAATGCACAATGAAACCTGATGCGGGCGAAGAGCAGAGACCCCGGCTCCCATGCATGCGTGTACAGTGTGCACTTCAGGGATGTGGTGAACTCCCCCATCCCTCACAGCTGCACCCTGGCCCTGCAGAGGCATGCGCTCAAGTGCCACTGCAGATAGTGGAGGCAGCCAGCCTGGAGAGGCCCAAGGGGAAGAGGTGAGGGCACCAGCTGAAGAGCTGGAGCACAAGGAGAAAAGAGTGGAAAGGGGGAACTCCCCCTGAGCTGCACCTCCCCCAGATGCCGGCTGAGCCGCTGCTTCCCCCTCAGACCCACAGCTCCTATCCCCCAAGTTCTCCTTGACCTGTAGTCGACCTCTCTGAGGGGCCAGGGTCAAGAGGATAAAGGCAGGGGGCTGCCATCTGTTCCCCATGACAAGATGCCACCCAGGCCCCTCTCTAGACAAGCCTCGGATGCCACGTACTCCCCCCCACTCAACTGGGAGGGAAACCGAGGCCAAAATAGTAAGTCACCAGCCCTAGTCAAATAGCAAGGTCAGAAAGTGTCCTAAGTGCTACCAGCCACCCCCAGTACCCCCAGTGGGGGCCAGGCTCCCACTTCAGGAGGCTCAGAAAGGCTGGGTGGCAGAGGAGATGCAGTGATGGAGGCAGGAGCTGCAGTGTCTACCCTGGACCACTGGGCTCACGTGAAGGGGGAGTGGAAGTGGCCTTGGGAAGGTGTGGGGGCTGCAGTGCAGTGGAATGAGCCTCCCCCACCCTGTGAGTGACCCTTTGCCCAGCCCGTGGTAAGCCAAGCCCAGGCGACGAAGCCTCCCTCAGGCCCCACCTCCCTGCCAGTGCCTGTCCCTGGGGTGGGACTCACGTAGTCCTGGAAGGCCTTGGCCTCACTCGAGTGCTCACATGCCTCTCTGCGATCAGGTGCTGCACAGTACAAGTCCCAGAACACACTGTGGGCGGCAGGGGGGATAATGGTTTCCCCACGAGCCCCCGCCCAGCCCCCTCCATGGTCTGTCCATGCCAGCCCCGCACGCACCACCACCAGGAATGCAGGAAGCCTGGGGGCTCCCCCAGCGTGATGTTCTTCTCCCATCGGATCTGCAGAGGAGAGGGAAGGCAGGTGAGGGGCTGCTGCCCACATGATTCTGCCTTACCTCAGGCAGAGAACACAGGGCAGGACCAGTGGACCAAAGAAAGGGAGCTGGGAGCAGACAACTGGGTGAGTACAGGAGCAGTGGATGGACAAATAGGCACCTGTATGCCAGCCGTGGGCCCAGACCCACCCCAGCCCTCAGTTCTCAGGGCCATCAGAGGGGCCATCCGATACCACCACTGGAGCACCGATGGAAACTGGGAGAAGAGGACCCTGGGGGTGGCCAGGCCAGCTTACCTCAGACAGAAAGGTCTGGGCTGACTTCTGGGCACCAACATGCAGCAGGTACTCATACACATACAGTGCCAACCTGCGGGCAGGGTTGGGGTGGCTCAGGCTCTCAGGCCAGGCAGATGGGCAGGTGGAGATGAGGGGCAGAAGGCCCACAGTGAGCCCTCATCGCATCCACCTCCGGCCTTACTCACTGCCCGCATTTGATCCCCTAATTCTCCCCATCTTCCCCACCTCTCACAGGAGACGGCATCCTCACAAGTTGCTCAGCCTGGCCAACTCCTATACATCCATCAACACCCAGCCTGAAGGCCCCTCCTCTAGGCAACAGTGCCAGCAGTCCCCGACTTCCCACATCCAGGCCAAATTCTGGTCAGTTCAACGCTCCTTCGTGGACCAATTCCTAGCCCCATCTTGTTGATGCGATGACCCCAGAGCACCCTTGGCCCCAGGGAGGCAGAAGGCTCCTGGGAGTCATTTCGGATTGTGCACTACATGGAGTCTTCCAGCACGTACCCTGAGCCATGTACCCAAGGCCAATACCTCACTCACTCCCAGCCTTGCCTGCTGAGTAAAGAAAGGGCCCTCCTCCCTGAGGCCTTCCTCCCCCAGATATCCCTGGGCCCCATCCTCTTCCTTGGGATAGGTGCCTGCCAACTATCAGTGCCGCAACTTCTCCATAGGAGCCCCCAGAGAGAGTCTGGGGCAGTGCAGGTGGGGAGAGGAGATGAGGCCAGCAGTGCCACTCAGCTGCCAAATACCTACAGTGCATGGTACCCCTGGACATGCCAACTTGGCTGCTGCCTACCCAAGAGCATGAGCCAACTGTCAACCAGCAGCACTCTCTTTGGGCTATACAAGGAGGTCTGCCTAGCCACACCACCTCCTAGGCCTCTCCATCCTCCACCTCTGCCTCCATCTCCCAGTCCCCCATCCATTTTCCACACTGGCTAGCAGAGGGACAAGATCCCACCCTTTAGCCATTTCCCAGCCATCCACTCTACTGACATGGGGCCCTCCTGGCGACCCCTGGGTCCTCCTACTGCCCAGCCAGGCCCCAGGTAGGCTTGGAGGTTTAGATCCAAGATAAGGGGCTCCCTAAGCCGGCCTGAGGCTATGCCTCCAGCTCAGCTAGCCTCTCTCCCCTGGCTGACAACCCCAACTAAAAATAACCCTGCTTTAATTCATGCTCCTGCTCTCCCACCCTTTCCAACCAAGCTCCTTGATCCTAGATCCTCCCACCCCAGCCATGCCATTAGACCCCCACCAGCTCCTGGTCAGACCTCACTAAGGTTGTTCCAACCCTCTGTCCTGGCCCCTAGTACCCACTCCACAGGTCTGCCCTTGCCCTCGATCCTCCTCCTTCCTTCATCTACCTGTCCATCTTTTTTCATTCATTCATTCATTCATTCATTCACTCATTCATTCATTCAACAATCACTCAGCGCTTTCTCATGCAGTGAACACAACAGACCCCTGTACCCCTGGAAGGACAGTATAGCAACAATACAAGAAGGTAAGTTATATGGTGAGTTGGAAGGCAATGTGTGCTATAGAAAGACAAGGGGGCACCACTGGGGGGTTTGGGTAGTAGCTGTCCCAGGGCAAGATATGTCCTCGGCTCACACTGCACCATGTACCCTGTGACAAACACTCAAGGGACAAGGAACAGGCACAGAGTCCACTACCACAGAGAGGTAGGACTCATGGTGGTCTTGCAGCTCCGAGTGTATGTCCCCCAAGACTGGCTGAAGTCCCCACTGCATAATCACACCCCTCTTGGCAGCACCATCAGCCCAGGCCCCCCCAAATTCTGACACTGCCCACTCTGGCAGTCTCCAGCATCTGCCCCTCTCCAGCGCAGTGGCCTTCCTGCCCAAACCCCTACCCCAAACCCCGCCCTCCAGGCTCACCTGTCCAACTCACTCCTGTGATCCCACCCCTTCTCAAGGCTGGAGAGTGAGATGCCCAGAGACAGGAAGCAATACAGAACAGGAGGTCCAGGGTGAGAGGAGGGCATGGGCTATACTCTAGCTAAACCCCAGGGACAGAAGGCTCTCCTCAGGATTCCCTGGGCCTCCTGAAGAAGCAGCCTTTGGTCCCACCACATCCACCAAGGGCTCCATGCTGCCAGCCGACTGGACCTTCTGTCTCCCCTGGCCCTGGACAGTGCAGTGGTAACATGTGACCCAGGACACAGGTCTAAGAACCCACCTTTGCCTGTTCTCCCCCTCAGCCCAGGTCTCTCTTCTACCCTCTCTGGGCAGCCTCCCTCTGAATCTGATGACATCTTCATACAGCTGTCCACAGGGCACTACAGCCTGGCTTCCCTGAACTTGGGATCCACTGTCCACCTGGTATCAAAAGGCCCAGACCTGACATGCCCCTCCCCTGGTTTCTCCCACACCGCTGGCCTGCCCCGTGTGTTCTGACCAGGGCAGTCTGGCCTTGACTCACGTAGGTATGGCACATGTTGTCCCTGAGATAACTACTTATTGAATTTAGGGTAAAACCTTAAGGAAAATGCTCTCTCCCCTGCACACCTAGTACAGGCCACTGACTCTCTTACTTAGATTTCGACAGGGCCCCTCCAATGGCTGCTCTCTTCCAGCTTCTAGTCTCCACACACCCCTTACAGCACTCCTCACTCAGACCCTCCAGTGCCCTAACACACATACTGGCCACCCTCCACCTCAGGGCTTTGCACAGGCTGTTCTTCCATCTGAGTACTTATGCCTAGAGATCTTCATGGCTCCGCTGTCACCTGTCAGAGGCTTCCCTATCACATCTAACCCCTACCCTGACCCATCATCTTATTTATCCCCACCTGACATGTCTCGCTGCTCACTGCCTGCAGTCCCCACTGAAATGTAGCTAGGAGGGCAAGGATTGGGTCT